AATTGAATACGAAAAAGGAATAGACAATTGTGGTATATAGTTCGGAAGTATACCGTCATTTCATTGCTAACTTCTTCGAAAGAACATGTTAGTTACACCAGCTTCCACTTTATGACCATATTGAGTAAACGCGAGTAATGTGTTTTACTGGAATTCTGATGACTGGGTGAATTTCGAAAGAATCACAAAGTAGTAACTAATTTCTCTCACACTTTATTCCGGTTAATTTGTTGTTATTTAAATTGTCTCTTATGAGGCGAAATTTATCCATAGTTATCGGAAATAATTTAATGTGTAGTGGAATAGGATGTGTCTCCTTTAGTTATCTTACTGATATTTTATTACTGAGAGGATTATAATGGCAAAACCATGCTCCTCTCAGTTAACCCAATACATTCCATAAGACTATATTATTATCTTCACTTTCCATTTTTCTTATTGATAATCAGGTAAAAAATATCGGTGTGACGTATGTGGGAAGGAATTCACTGATGCTAGCAATTTGAAGAAACACATGGAGTCAATCCATGGAGGTGAGTTTGTTGTTTTGTGTGTTTATTTTGTGCGAGAGTTTCATGTTGACTTGATGAATTTCACGTTTCACTACTGTGTCACATACATAACCGATGTGGTTCTGCCTTTTGCATTCTAAGGGATTGGTGCAGGTGTAGCGTGTATATGCTCTGTTTACGATTCGGTAATTTCATTCTGCATAAACCTTTATTTTGATAAAGTAGCCTCACATTGTTATACAGTAATATTTACTAATGACTACGTTTCGAGCACAATTTATTGCCGCCGATAATCAAATGAACGCAGTACTCACACAAATTTCTTGCTTCGTTTACATACTTGAGTACACAGAGACTAGACATTTGAATAAAATCGGTATAAGACTTGCGAGAAACAGCATGGAAGGTAAATTACTTTCAGAACCACTATCAGTGTGATCAATAAAATAGAATATTATAAGAATCAAGACGGGTGTTGTTAGTCAATCCACTATGGAAGATGAAGTACATTCGAATTTGTAACTTACATTCTGGGTATTCCACCGAAGCTTAGGAGATGCTAAAGGAGTGAGTAAATGTCCTCCTTCTGTGAGTATGACTATGACCTCTGCTTTTGATGTTGTTGTGCAGGTCCTAGTGTTGTGAGTGCAAATCGATGCTCGCTGAGACTTCACCTTTGCACGTTCGAGACAAGTTCGAGGCGACACTAGTTGGGGCCCTAATGGAATAAACCACTTCGAATTTCATCATCCAGATTGTAAACAGTCGACAGGAGCCATTAACGAAATAAGTCGGATCCACTTCATCCTGCTTTATTACCAATATGTTTACACAATTACTTCTGAGCTAACCATTGAGATTAAGATAGTCGCACCGATCCACACTCACAAGGTCAACCAACATGTGACTAGTGGATCCATGCTTTCGAATATTGACCAATCATATGCAAAATCAATAGAATTAGACTAAGTCTTAGTCTGAGGCTAAGGATTAGGCCTAGGCTTAAGCAAGCAGCATTCACTTCAGCGTTTAGCAAGCAGTAGAACAGCACAACATGAATTTACATATATATATTCAGTACAAAGCACATAGGTGTATGTGCACATTACTTTTTTGAGTGCATTGAAATTAAGAAAGAAATATAATAACTTGTAGAGGCAGCAAGTGATTCTCCCGTCATCAAGGTAGGTTATCGGGAAACACAACAACGAAAAATCATTGCAAATTATTTAATACAAGCGTGAATGACAGACAGCAACAGAAAGTGAGAGAGGAAAAGGAGAGAAAACAATGGCTTTGACAATTGACAAATCTTCATGAGTGAAGTTGGAAAGTGATTCGGAAAATGTGTCAACAATAACAGTGATAACAACAACAGCAACAATAACAACTACTCTCAAGCGCCATCACTCAAGCGTATACATGCAATTGGTTGTTGCGTAATTCTAGCGTAGTAATGATACTCTTTGTGAACCAGTGGAGTGATAGATTGAATGATTGGTGTTGCTATTACTATTATTACTATAACTAATATAACGTTGATTAACTGAGACAATGAAGTATTCAAAATGAAATGTTGTCAGTAGATTCATTCAGCTCGTTATCGCACGGTTTGATGACATACGGTGCAAGAATTTCTTCACTTCAACACTTACAGATGTTCGTGAAAGCCTTGCAGTTGTTGGGACACTGTCCCATGACCACTAGTGAAGAAGAAGAAGAAGAGACGGATGCAGTAGCAGTTGGAATGGAATCAGCACCAGCATCAGTAGTATCAGGGTTGGAGGTGGTAGTCATCACGCGTAGGACATTCGTGTTCTCAGCTGTTAACGTAGAAGTAGCAGTATTAGTAATATCAGTAATCACGGAGTTATCTGAGAGAGTAGTAGATTCAACTGGTTGATTTGTTGTCTGTGAAGAAGTCGGAAATCGAGACAAACGTCTTGGCTGTTCTCCACCTCTTAAAAGAATATTTCTATGATTACTTAGATCATACTTTCGTATAAGTGATTTTTTACATTCTTCACAGACATATGGCCTTTCACCAGTATGCCGACAAATATGTCCAATCAATGATCTAAAGCTTCCAAATATCTTACTACATGCTTTCCATGGACAGAAAGGTGGATATGCAATATGTGGTTTACCATTCATATGCGTAATAGGAGGTATTGGATGGAGGTGGAGGATTCGGTTTCGGTGGACTCGCGTGGGGGAGAAGACGGCATTTAATACATCTACATGTATTGATTTGCATATCGACTTGACTAGGTGGCTTCGTCAGAGTATTTGATGAAGGAATGGTTGTTATTGTCGTGGTGGTGGCAGTTGTTAGACCTAAGTTTCGTGGACTGACAACTGTTCGCTCACCACCCACACCAGAATTCTCTCCATTCATAACATGCTCCACATATTCGGCATATTGTTCAAGTCGTTTAGAACCTTTACGATCATGGAGATGAGTTAACTCATGGAGTTTCGCCATATAGAATTGAACAAATCTTGCTCCACAATCAGGCTTTCGGCAAACATACCGTCTTTCCCCAGTATCCGAATGAACAGGTTCTTTCTTTCTATACACCTGTAAGTAGACTTCACCACAGCCAGTATATGCAAACTGATGTCTGTCCAGCTCATTCACAGATTTCGTATTGAATAAAGCTCTAGGATCGGGAATGTCATTCGGTGTTTGTTGTGTGTCAGTGTTTACATTGAGAATTGAATAATCACCACTCGATGATTCACATGATAAATTCGGTAATACTGAAGTCGTAGGAATTTTTATACCACTACCACTACCACAACTTCTACTGCTAATGATATCAGGAACAGTATTATTGATTGCATTATTCCCACTGTTATCGTCTGTGGTATTTTCAGGGACAGATGGTGTGCAGCATATAGTTCCAGGATGTTGATTGTTAATAATATCCCTCGTCGCACAATTCATTAAAGCAGCACTCTGAGCTAGAACACTCGTCAGGTCAGTAAGACTACTCACACCTGCTGGGAAGGTAATATTTATTGTTGTACTCGTGTCAGATGAACGTAACCAAAGTGTGTGGGTAAAGTGGAGTTGGAGAGAATACATGGATTTCGTAGGCTTGTTGAGGGAGTACTCTCAGCTGGTAATATCGGTCGGAATGATACACTTCGAGGTGGAGCACCACGTGGTGTACTTGTTGACAAGCTTTGTATAGCATCATTCGCTGGTAGGATATTAACAGGCTTAGAAGATGACTGTGTGGTCAGGAATCTGACAGGAATTTCATTCAACGTAGATTTGACAACATTATTGACTAGAAGTGATGTGGAATTTGTAGAAGATATAGAAGGAGAGGGTTGAATTGTTGTCATTTCACCTTCTTCATTGGTGCACTCCTCATAACCTTCTTCTTCGATTGTCATTGACATTTGCTTTCCTCTCTCCTCTTCTTTTCCTCTTCGACAATCGTCTTCTCCTGGATCTGTAGTCTCAACAATCACCGTTTCGTCATTATCAACAACTTGACGAAGAAGACAAGTAGTCGGTGAGTTCAGAAGACGTCTGAGTGTTGCACCTTCTGATTTTATCGATTTCGATGAATTCTGTGTAGATGACATGGGAATTTTAGACAATCTCATCGACGCTGGGATGGGCCTGGGTCTATGTAGCATGTTTCTTCTTCACGAGAAAGAAAGGAAAACAAAATGGACGAATAATTGTATTCGAAAGAGGAGGATGTGTTTGTTGTATGTGAGTGGATGGAGAGAATAAATCGTAAGGCGAAATTTCCATTCACAATAAATTACAATTGATTTTTGTCTGCAAAGTTCATCGCCTACGCGGGTCAATAGGCTAGATTCATTTCGCCTCGATACGATTGGTGAAAATTTGAATTCGTTGGACGCCCTAAAATAATTGGGGGTCCTGAAGACAAATAAGACTTGTCTGTGTCCCCTCTCATTCTACCCCATGCATATGTCAAGTTGCAACAATTCGCTGACTCAACTAGCAAATCACGAGGAGACGAACGAGAAAGGTCAAGGTCGGTCTATGGCAGACCTAATGTTGGTCATAGTTGAGCATTCTGACTGGTTGATTTCTATAAGGTCATTTGGTGAGTGCTTGAATGATTAGAGACAGACAATAAGCGAGCGTGGTCTCCGCTGATTGGTCCACTCACCAAATCAACCAGTCAGAATGCTCAACTATGACCAACATTAGGTCTGCCATAGACCGACCTTGACCTTTCTCGTTCGTCTCCCCGTGATTTGCTAGTTGAGTCAGCGAATTGTTGCAACTTGACATATGCATGGGGTAGAATGAGAGGGGACACAGACAAGTCTTATTTGTCTTCAGGACCCCCAATTATTTTAGGGCGTCCAACGAATTCAAATTTTCACCAATCGTATCGAGGCGAAATGAATCTAGCCTATTGACCCGCGTAGGCGATGAACTTTGCAGACAAAAATCAATTGTAATTTATTGTGAATGGAAATTTCGCCTTACGATTTATTCTCTCCATCCACTCACATACAACAAACACATCCTCCTCTTTCGAATACAATTATTCGTCCATTTTGTTTTCCTGTTTCTCTTTCTCGTGAAGAAGAAACATGCTACATAGACCCAGGCCCATCCCAGCGTCGATGAGATTGTCTAAAATTCCCATGTCATCTACACAGAATTCATCGAAATCGATAAAATCAGAAGGTGCAACACTCAGACGTCTTCTGAACTCACCGACTACTTGTCTTCTTCGTCAAGTTGTTGATAATGACGAAACGGTGATTGTTGAGACTACAGATCCAGGAGAAGACGATTGTCGAAGAGGAAAAGAAGAGGAGAGAGGAAAGCAAATGTCAATGACAATCGAAGAAGAAGGTTATGAGGAGTGCACCAATGAAGAAGGTGAAATGACAACAATTCAACCCTCTCCTTCTATATCTTCTACAAATTCCACATCACTTCTAGTCAATAATGTTGTCAAATCTACGTTGAATGAAATTCCTGTCAGATTCCTGACCACACAGTCATCTTCTAAGCCTGTTAATATCCTACCAGCGAATGATGCTATACAAAGCTTGTCAACAAGTACACCACGTGGTGCTCCACCTCGAAGTGTATCATTCCGACCGATATTACCAGCTGAGAGTACTCCCTCAACAAGCCTACGAAATCCATGTATTCTCTCCAACTCCACTTTACCCACACACTTTGGTTACGTTCATCTGACACGAGTACAACAATAAATATTACCTTCCCAGCAGGTGTGAGTAGTCTTACTGACCTGACGAGTGTTCTAGCTCAGAGTGCTGCTTTAATGAATTGTGCGACGAGGGATATTATTAACAATCAACATCCTGGAACTATATGCTGCACACCATCTGTCCCTGAAAATACCACAGACGATAACAGTGGGAATCATGCAATCAATAATACTGTTCCTGATGTCATTAGCAGTAGAAGTTGTGGTAGTGGTAGTGGTATAAAAATTCCTACGACTTCAGTATTACCGAATTTATCATGTGAATCATCGAGTGGTGATTATTCAATTCTCAATGTAAACACTGACACACAATAAACACCGAATGACATTCCCGATCCTAGAGCTTTATTCAATACGAAATCTGTGAATGAGCTGGACAGACATCAGTTTGCATATACTGGCTGTGGTGAAGTCTACTTACAGGTGTATAGAAAGAAAGAACCTGTTCATTCGGATACTGGGGAAAGACGGTATGTTTGCCGAAAGCCTGATTGTGGAGCAAGATTTGTTCAATTCTATATGGCGAAACTCCATGAGTTAACTCATCTCCATGATCGTAAAGGTTCTAAACGACTTGAACAATATGCCGAATATGTGGAGCATGTTATGAATGGAGAGAATTCTGGTGTGGGTGGTGAGTTGTCAGTCCACGAAACTTAGGTCTAACAACTGCCACCACCACGACAATAACAACCATTCCTTCATCAAATACTCTGACGAAGCCACCTAGTCAAGTCGATATGCAAATCAATACATGTAGATGTATTAAATGCCGTCTTCTCCCCCACGCGAGTCCACCGAAACCGAATCCTCCACCTCCACCTCCAATACCTCCTATTACGCATATGAATGGTAAACCACATATTGCATATCCACCTTTCTGTCCATGGAAAGCATGTAGTAAGATATTTGGAAGCTTTAGATCATTGATTGGACATATTTGTCGGCATACTGGTGAAAGGCCATATGTCTGTGAAGAATGTAAAAAATCACTTATACGAAAGTATGATCTAAGTAATCATAGAAATATTCTTTTAAGAGGTGGAGAACAGCCAAGACGTTTGTCTCGATTTCCGACTTCTTCACAGACAACAAATCAACCAGTTGAATCTACTACTCTCTCAGATAACTCCGTGATTACTGATATTACTAATACTGCTACTTCTACGTTAACAGCTGAGAACACGAATGTCCTACGCGTGATGACTACCACCTCCAACCCTGATACTACTGATGCTGGTGCTGATTCCATTCCAACTGCTACTGCATCCGTCTCTTCTTCTTCTTCTTCACTAGTGGTCATGGGACAGTGTCCCAACAACTGCAAGGCTTTCACGAACATCTGTAAGTGTTGAAGTGAAGAAATTCTTGCACCGTATGTCATCAAACCGTGCGATAACGAGCTGAATGAATCTACTGACAACATTTCATTTTGAATACTTCATTGTCTCAGTTAATCAACGTTATATTAGTTATAGTAATAATAGTAATAGCAACACCAATCATTCAATCTATCACTCCACTGGTTCACAAAGAGTATCATTACTACGCTAGAATTACGCAACAACCAATTGCATGTATACGCTTGAGTGATGGCGCTTGAGAGTAGTTGTTATTGTTGCTGTTGTTGTTATCACTGTTATTGTTGACACATTTTCCGAATCACTTTCCAACTTCACTCATGAAGATTTGTCAATTGTCAAAGCCATTGTTTTCTCTCCTTCTCTCCCTCTCTCACTTTCTGTTGCTGTCTGTCATTCACGCTTGTATTAAATAATTTGCAATGATTTTTCGTTGTTGTGTTTCCCGATAACCTACCTTGATGACGGGAGAATCACTTGCTGCCTCTACAAGTTATTATATTTCTTTCTTAATTTCAATGCACTCAAAAAAGTAATGTGCACATACACCTATGTGCTTTGTACTGAATATATATATGTAAATTCATGTTGTGCTGTTCTACTGCTTGCTAAACGCTGAAGTGAATGCTGCTTGCTTAAGCCTAGGCCTAATCCTTAGCCTCAGACTAAGACTTAGTCTAATTCTATTGATTTTGCATATGATTGGTCAATATTCGAAAGCATGGATCCACTAGTCACATGTTGGTTGACCTTGTGAGTGTGGATCGGTGCGACTATCTTAATCTCAATGGTTAGCTCAGAAGTAATTGTGTAAACATATTGGTAATAAAGCAGGATGAAGTGGATCCGACTTATTTCGTTTATGGCTCCTGTCGACTGTTTACAATCTGGATGATGAAATTCGAAGTGGTTTATTCCATTAGGGCCCCACCTAGTGTCATTTCGAACTTTCTCAGTCAGTCAGGTATTTCGATTAGTGTAATAGTAGGACACTTCAAGGAAATTTTCCTTGAGCATTCCCCGACCCATGGTTAAGGGCTGGAGCATTGAAATTTCCAACTACAATGATTGTGTGATAAGCCGAATTCTCTGTGATGGTGTTGAGTAGTAGCTGGTTGTGTTCCGCTGCATGGTGGGAGGTGGGTGGGGACGGTCGATGCAAGCGACCTAATAAATTATTGATTGGCCCATTGTGAAATGTAACCAAATGGAGTATGGATGTTGAGTAAGTGGTGGGTTGGTTGCTTGTACTCATCTGAGGAGCTTGGCAACGTATATGCCTACTCTACTTCTTGGCTTCCTGCCTTCCTTGTGGTCCCTGTCTCGCCTTATCTGAAGAAAATCGCTATTACAAAATTTCTTGTCGAAAATAGTTTAGGTCAGCCAGGTTTCTGTCAGTATAATAATAATAATTTTTTTTGAAGTCCACGTGTGATTGTAGTTTTCAGAGACCAGTTTCATACTCTCAGCACAGTCAAACTGCTGTAAAGGCGACTGATAGATAGTCCTACTGCTACGACAGAGGACAAGATAATTGTTAACGGACTTTCTTCAAGCAAGAACACATCATATTTATGCAGTTTTAGCGACATTGGAATTTGGCCAGGTGAGCGGACAATAAATTGTCCGTAGGACGGAAGAAAGTTTTCTCATTCTGGTTTTGTCGAAATTGCTATAGTGCACACAGGATGGCGCAGCGTCCTGCTGTAAGCTGCTGAAAAGAATCAGATGAAACGCGATTATCTCATGGTCACCACTACGAAGAGGGGTCATGATTTGAACGTTTTCTACCAGTGACTGGTAGCTGGTTTTGATATCAACCAGTTTTGGTAATTTTCCATTAGCATCCTACCTAGTGTCGTCTCCAACGGTCTCGGTCAACTAGGAATTTCTAGTGGTGTTTCTGTGGCAGATTTCAACCGAGATGGTCGTCACGTATGAAGATGCAATATATCCACAGTAAAATTCGACTAGATCAGCGAACAATAAATTGTTCTGATTAGTTGGCGATTTGTGCAGGGTTAAACAACCAGACGAGAAGTTGTCCAACGAGGTTATCTGATGTTCACATCGTAAACCAGATGCAGATTTGAGGGATTGACACTTCTACTTCTGAAGCCATTGACTTGAAATGTTGGTTTCGATTTCGGTGTCTACCTGTCAATCTTCATCTTTATACCACTTGTATGTCCTGTCAGTTATCCTCACCACTTCTCCGTCTCGACATGTTGTGTGGTGGTTGACGCGGTGTGGACTACTGGTTGAGGAGTCAGTGTTCGAAGTGGTTGGCCGATTCTGTGGAACACTGCATGAGACCATGCTCAGGCGAGAATATATGCACATGTACCAGAAACGTGGGCGTGGGTTATTCCGCATAAAAGCAAAATATGCTTCCAGCTCTCCGTGGTCACATCCACAGTAGACTCAACCTTTGCAAAAGTTGCATTCAGATGTCGAGTTTTTGTTGCAGATGACAGAACTACACACCTGGCAGTTGTCCTCTTTCATAGAAAACACCTTCGGCATCTTACGATGTCTTCAGAGTTTCTTTCTGATCTCGATACATCTGACACGTTAGCTTGTTATGGAGACTGATGCACAAGCGTGTCAACCTCTTTCGATTTGTTCACCTTCACTACTGAACTGTGCCAACGTAGGCATATCGAGAGAGCAGGGAATATGTGATTGGGTATTTAGAAGGTGGATGCGAGATGGCGCTTATTCTGATGGTCTATTTCTTACCCTAGCTGAAACCCTTGTCACGACAGAATAATGCTCTTCTTGAGCCTGAAGAAGGCTGTCACATTACCAATTATTACTGATTGTGGTTAGATAACAATAGAGGAAACAGCAACAGAATGCTTGACCAAGAGAACTGGAACAGAAGAACTGATGAAGTGTAAGAAAATGTATCCATTTGAAGCGGCTGCCGCAGCCTGGAATGATTCGATACTGGAAATGTTCGACTGCATGAGCATTAGCAACTAGATCATTTTCATTTGTGGTTTGAGAAATTTGTCCAACTTCGAAGAAGAATCGAACACTTCCGTCTCCACTCTAATATTTTTCAAATGTTTAGCTGAGTTGAATTAGCACAGACACGAATATCGCTTCTCTATGCACACAACAACATTCAGCATGACTAGCTGATTTCACAGCTCGTTACACTTAGGCGAGAACACATAACGAGTGGCGATGGTAAGTATATGTGTATGTGAGAAAATAATAATATTATATGCAGGAGACAATAAAGCAGAATGTGTGCATGGAGCCAATGACGTAGGCGTTATGAAAGACAATTCATGATTGGCTATCTGTCTATCAACCTAGGAGACCACTCATTGGTCCACCATTCATACAAGTCATTGTCCCACATATCACAAATTATATTGCTTTTTAATGTCTCATATGAAACAGTACATCTGACACAATGTGGAATTCCCACCATCCAGTGCAATATTGCATCTCATTTGCCCTCTACATAATGCAGTAAGGGAAGGCGGAAATGCAAATACACAACTGCCTTGATATTCACATTAAGGATGATGTCAATGAAAATATAAATGTGAAATGAAAAGTTGACAGAATTAATGACGACGACAACAACATACATATTAATGATGGGATTATTCGAAGAAACCGACTTATTCACCATCTCACAGTATATGATTATCTTGCTGACTGACACATTCGCCATGGAACGTTGTGCGTGGTAAATCAGGGATTGATGAGCTTATTCACTCAGTCGTCCGAGGACAAAATACCTGATGATTATTGCTGCA